CCCCCCCCGCAAAGTAATCAACTCTGATCACTTTTGCATATTTCTCTGCTGCTCCCCAGTGGGAACATTAGGTATGATCTGGTTATCTTTTGCTGACCTTGCTTTTCCTTTTCCTTTAATTCAGCCTTTCCTGACCCTGGAGTCATAGGCAACGTTGGCTGAAACATTAGCTGGCTTTATACAACACAAATTAGCCGGCCAAATTTTAACCTTCTACTTCTTTTACTTCTACTCACTCAGCTTGTATGGTCACTTTATAGTTCAGCGTGTTGAGCAAACCCAGAAAGTTGCATTAACTGAATAAACCATGGTTAGACCAGGCACAGTTAAGCATGTCCTTAAAACCTGGCCACTAACACAGAAGCAACCGCATTTGATCCACTTGCGCACACACATGCACACTGTTTATAAAGAAGTTATATGTGGCTATCTAAAGGGGGGAGCAGTGCATAAGAGACCATTTGCTCAAAGGTCTAAAATGAGATCTTGAAAGAACCTTCTGCTATATGTTTGCCAAAACTTCCCTCTGTCCCCTAAAACAATAAAACAATAGTTTAAACAAACCACCTATGACACAAATTACAGCAGATTAAAGCAAGTGTAAATATATTTAATCATACGAAGGGATGACTTCAAGGGATAGCATCCAAAACATGCATGTTCTCTTCATTCCTCAGCCTCCTGAAACTTTTCAATAACAGGACTGACAATACAATTACTGTATACTGTACTATAGTGCTATAGTTGAGTCAATTAGTTTAGAAGGCCTCTGCTTTTAATCTTTAACTCATTCCATTATCCTAGAAGAAGCAGCAAAAACTAATGCAAATTTCCAGGACTCAGGCCAATCCATCACCTTCCTTCCTGGCTTGGAACAGCTGCGTGCATTGGTGGTGGCTGGGGGAGCAGGGTCATCTTCCTTGCAGATTTCAATTGTCCTGGTACTGATATCTTCCCTCCCCAGGATTTCCTGCCACTTAGTCTTGGGCAGGAAAAGAAAATCAGTCTGACTGGAAAGTATGGCCTAATCCAAAAAGACAAAGGTTGGTTATTGTCCAATAAGCTAAAAGCTTAGTTAAAGGATAAATGTCATTATCTCCCCCTTTTTCCCTCTTCTGATAAGTTTTAATCAGGCTTGTGGTATACTGCGTGGTCTAAACACTAAATGGTTTCCATTCTAGGTTTCCAGAAACCAGAAAGTTTAACTAAGGTTCAGCTACAGAGGGGGCTCATTTGTATGACCAGCTTCATGCCGCATAGTAAACTACACTGTAGTTAGCTTGTTTGTGGCTCAGTGATCCTATTCCAGCAAATCATTTAATAGCTCTGCTATTTACAGATGAGAATTTATCTGAGGAACTGGCATCAAATGACCCAGTAAATCAAGGATGTGTCAGTTTTAAACTATCCGAATGGGTCATAAAAATCCAAGCAACTGCTAGATGGCAATAAATAGTTTTCTGTATCTCTTTACAGGTAGTCCTTGTTTAGTGATTGCCTCATTTTGTGACCATTCATAGTTACGACATTGATGAACAAGTAACTTTATGACCAATCCTTGCATTTATGACTTTCTCAGATCTGTAAAGCAAAGGAAAGCTGAAGTAAGATCTGAAAGCACAGTCATGATTTCACTTAGTGACCGCTTCATGTAATGACTGAGTTGCCAATCCCAGTTATGGTTGCTAAACAAGGACTACCCATACTGCCATCACAGGTGGCTGGACTTTTGGAACTCAGATCCAGTTGCCTTACACCATTTGTTGGGAAGTCCCATTTTGGAATGTACAGTACTTTTACATGGGTATCATATCCTGGGGTTTTTTGTGTGGTTAAATTTTGAGAAGTTTCCTTAAAAAAATCCCCTGTGGCTCAACTGGGGTTGGAGTCAGCACAGTTGGAGTGGTGGGTGTCTTACTTATCCTTATCCCACTGCTACACCCATCATACATACCCTTCACATCTCATAGGGAGATGGAATGCCTAGAGAAGCCATTCTTTATAGGAACCCACTGGGCGACCCTGCCTCTGTCAGACTCCTAGAGAGAACTCATGCTAACCTCTTATCAGGTTTTGAGAATATAACAGGGCGTGGTCAAGGTAAGTTACTCAACAAGTATCCTTGGTACTCTGGGACAACTGGGGCCTGCTTTTGACTTGGAAGTGATAGGTTTTTATATAACAACATGCTTGATGAGTTCACATAATGTACTAGCCCCTACAACCAGGTTAACAAAGCATAGTTGCTCTGGTCACATAATATACTATGCCCCAAGAAATCATTTTTGGCTTAACAGGATAGCTTTAGACAATGATGAGGTTCCTATAGTAGAGTGAGGCAAAAACTACCCAACACCATTTTAGGCTACCCTTGCACTCACTGCTTTTAGGCTTCCCACAACCTTGGAAACAAAATCACCAATGCTTTAAAGGACCAGCTCATCAACATTGATGCAAGTCTTAAAGCAGTGGTGCCTTTTCCTGATTCATGCAGAAACTTGCAAAAAGTTGGCATGCTTTAATTAATAGCAGAGCAAGGCTGCTCTCACATAAACACTTCATCCAAATAATTTTTGAAGCGTGTTTGTTAAACGAGTGAGATTCTAAATGGGCGGAGAGCCCTCTAGTGACGGCACTATTTTTCACAACTTTATCAAATCAGAATTTTAACACCAGTTCCAGGGGTGTCTGCAGGGCATTGTCCCAAAAGTCAAGACGGCAACTGTACCTATGCAATCCATGCTCTGACTGTTTTTGTGTGAGTAGATTGCTCTGCCATGGCAGCTATCTTGATTTTTTTTTACCATGCCCAGCAGACACCTGTGACCAGTTCCCTATATTACATGCACCTCTGGGAATGGAGGTGGGGTTCTTCTGGGGTATAAGGATTCCAGTTTGTTTTGAGTTTATTCATGACTAGCCCAGGTATAACCATGTGAGCAATAATTGTTACTTAATAGGGCAAAGTTCTGGATTTCTGAGGACAGCAGCAATGCTAATGAGTCCAGAAGGATATTTTAACATCCCGTTGTTAGAACAATATGGCAATTCCTAGAGCAGTTTGGGAGTATTGGATCTTGATACTTTTGTATAAAAAAAATAGGCTAGGAAGTTATTTGGCCTGCAGTCAAATATTTTCCACAGGTAGGCTGCAAAATGAATTTATGAATAGTAACCCAAGTATATTCTTACTAACATGAAAGATTGATGGCAACTGGTGGTAGGCTTATCTATTGCATCTTTCCCCCTTTATTTCTATCTTTAGAAAAAAGGTGACATAATGATGAAGACCACATAA